CCACACCGAACAAGCTGGCAGGGGAGGCACCGTGACCCCGGGGCTGGGCGCATTCTGCTGAAGAACTTTGGATTGTGTTTAAATGCATCTGGTAGTCAAGTTCTTTAAGAGGCTGTAGTTCTTATGAAAGGCATGTGGCACTTACACAATTTTTTTTAAGAATGTAAAAATTATAGAAAGGTGATATCGTATAGCATATCACAAACATTTGGGAGAGAATTCTAACCAACAAGAGCAAGAATTCTGGCACATCTACTTCTAAAGTGGACGCGCTTGCACATGTGTCCAGGGCCATACAGATCAGATTGGCTGTGCCATAGTGTGAAGGCGAACCCTAAAAACACAAAAGGCCCTTCACTAGGGGACTGATAAAGAAAGCAGGGTTCACTACTATGGGATACTTTACAGCCATAACAAAATGGTTGACACTACATATACATTCATTCAAAACCAAAGAATGCATAACACCGAGAGAGAACCCCAGGGTAAACTATGGGCTTTGGGTGATAACAGCGCGTCAGTGTAGGATCATCAGTGGCAACGAATGTCCCACTCTAGTGGGCGGTGTTGATCACGGGGGAGGCTGTGCATGTGTAGGGACAGGGGTATATGGGAAATCTCTATACCTTCCCCTCAATTTTGCTGTGAACCTAAAACTGCTCTAAAAAAATAAAGTCTTAATTTTTTAAAATAAGTGATGAGGCAGAGTTACGAGTATTGATAAGGAAAAACCTCCAAGACATATGGTTACGTGAACAAAACAAACCCACACACACTGTGTGTGTGTGTGTGTGTGTGTGTGCACGCACCCATGTGTACAGTATTTGTATGGACACACATGTATAACGGTCAGCATGGATGACCACAGGTCACTTCTGAAACGGGAGGGAACTTATGCAGCTTGTAGCTTGTCAAAATCAAACAGGTGAAGGGAAGGGGAGGGAGCTAAGAGTATTGACTGAGTGGTCAGTAAGTGCCAGGTGTTACATAAAATCCACACGAACCCTCGTTCAATTCCCAAATCTACCTCCAGCTCTGCCTGCCCCCTGAGCTGCAGCTTAATAAATCTAGTCTCCCCCTCAATTTCACTTCTAGGATATCTGCTGGAGACATTTCAGATTTGACATGTTCAAAGTAGAGCTCAGTCTACTATCCTCCCCCCAGCCATCCCTCCCACCACCATTGAATCAAAAAAACCTTGTTTTGGTATCTCAGCAATTCTACCAGTGACTCCCCAGCTGCTTAGGCCAAACACCTGGGAGTCACCTCGCCTTTTTCTTTCTTATTCTGTATCTGACTCATCAGCAAGGCCTGTTGGCTGCACCTCCAGTATGTACCCCAAGCTTGTTTGTGTCTCCCCTCAGCCCACCCTCTGGTCTCGGCCACCACCATCTCCCACTGGGAAGCCTGCCCAGCCCCCTCCCCAGGCCCCCTGCATCTTCCTCAGTGATTGGAACTGTCTGTTTGGCTCTAAAATGTGGGGTGGAGGACAAAGAAGAAGGAAGGTGGCTGTGTAGAGGGGGCTGGGGAGGAGCCCGGCTTAAACAGGAAGACACCCACCGCTGCCGGAAGTCAGCGTAGAGCAGCCTGTTGGGGAAGCCCTGGCGGCAAATCCGGATCCCCTCCAGAACCCCATTGCAGCGCAGCTGGTGTAGCACCAAGAAGGCATCCATGACCCCTGGATGTGGTGGGAGTTAAAGGAAAAAGTTAAAGGAAATGGACACACCTTCATGCCCCAAAGAAAGACTAACCGTCCACACATTGGGCTCACTTGGAGGCTGTGCAGGCTCTGTGGAGGGGGAAGGCCCAGCTTCCAGCCCGCCCTGGTCCCTCCCTTCAGCGTCCCCCCTACCCTGCCAACCTAGCCCCCGGGTGACTACCTGGGGTCTTATTCTCATTTGGGACAATGCAACGGACAAAGTGGGGCTGTGTGGCCCGCAGGTTAGTCATCAGCTTGTTGAGGTTCTCCTGGAGGTGGGGAGAGGGGAGAAAGCACACAGGGCAGAGAAGCAGAATTGGAGATCGCAGTGGATCAGCCTGTTAAGGACTGGGAGCCAGGCACCTCCGCGTGCCTCCGTGTGTCCTTTCAGTCTGTTCCTGTGACCCTCTGCCCTCTTCTGTTTGAATGGGTCCCTGTCACCATCACCAAGGGCTTCACGCCCCCACCCAATGCCCCCACATCCCTCCCACAGGCCCTTGTGGCTCCCCGCATCCCCAAACCCTGCCCAGGCAGCGTGGGGACGGGAAGCAGCACAGACTTGCTGTGATGTTCACGTGGAGAGGAGTTAAACATCACTGCAAGTCTTAACGGCCGCCCGCCCAGGGTGCAGGGGACAGAGTGGGGAGTGAGGACGGGCTGCAGGCTATAGGGTGAGGCCTGCATGGGGCCCTGATTGGGCCTCACCTTGTGCAGCTGGGAAACTGTCTGGAACGATGCTGCCTTTTTACGCTTCTCTTTCACCCCAGACTTGGGGGGCTCAGCTAGAAGAGACATGGGAACCAGTCACTCCAGGGGACATCACTCTGTGAGTTCCCTGCAGAATGGCAATCTAGTACTCACTGGAGCAGGAGCCTGCGTAGTTCTCATAGAGGGTAGCTAAGAGCTTGTTCTGAGACTTTTGGAAGATGGGGACCACTGTCTCATTCAGGGGATCCTTGTTTTTCTCCAGCCAGCCCACGATGCTGTAAGGCACCTAGCAGAGATCAGACAAGTGCTGAGCAGAGGCAGGGGAACCCAGAGGAGGACAGTGGTAAAGAGCTGGGGTTCCAGTAGGTACCTACCACACCCGCATAGTGGACCACCTCAAAATGGGCCTGATATTTGCGCTTCTTGTCAGGCCGTGGTTGCTGGAAATTGGGTGACTTCCCTGCATGATTATCATAGAGCTTGGCCCGGAAGCTGGCATCTGAGGCCTTGGGGAACATGCACTCCTCCTCTAGGATGGACAGGATGCCCAGTGGCTGGGGACAGGGAACAAGGTTGAAGGGCCTCCAACAAGCCAGCCCATCCTCCAAAAAGCCCCTCCTGGGAGCATGCCCAGACCACCGGCACCTTAGCCACCTGCTTGAAAGAACAGAGACCAGACCCGCACCCAGGAGCCCTGTCTTCTAAGAGACAGAAAAGTTTGTGGCGTGGTCCCAGCCCCCCTTCTGCACGATTTGCAGCTGAGTTCTTTTCTTATGAGAAGTGGGTGAACTCAAACTGACATCTCTATACTCACTTATCCCCCACCTCCGTGATCTCATACACACTCGCACACGGTACATTCAAAAAAAGCAAGAGTTCAAATTCTGGCGTCCTCACTTACTAGCTGTGGGGCCCTTAGGCCTCTCTAAGCCTCAATTTCCTAACCTGCAAAATGGGGAAATGAATACTTTCTGCTGCTTTAACAGCAAACAAACAGTCAACCACCTAAATGTACAACAGGAAGAGATTACAGAAACTCATTGTCTGAAAATCATCTGCTGCGTGAACTATTGCATCTTTAACAACGTTCAACGTTCAAAATACATTTTTAGAGAAAAAGAGGAGAAATGAGTCTGTGTCTATAAGAGAAAACGGATGCCCAGGATACAGGACTTGGAGGAAAACTGACCAAAGTGTCGAGATTCTGGTTGCGTTAGAATTGAGGAAACATTTTTTCCCCTTTACTTCTGATTTTTCAAATTTTCCTTGATTTTTCTTTCCTCCATTCTTTGTACAATGGAGAGATATATGCAATGTCTCACAAGCAAATAAATAAGCCAGAACATCCTACTCTGCCCTGCTCCCAGGATAGTTCTGAGGGGCCAGCGAAATTGTGGCTGCAACAGAACCTTGTGAACTGCAAAATTATGTCCACCCATGAGGGGCTGTTGTCCATGTGCTGGAATACACAGTCACACACACACACTGCTCACACATACTCACCAATATGCTTTCCTACTCTCCAACACACCTATTGCACACATTACCATTCAGACACATGTAGAGACATGGTCCCAGCCACACGCACATGCACAAGCTTACTTCAATGCACAATCACGCGCCTGCCGTGCTCGCTCATATACAAGCACACACTCACTCCTGCTCACTCACTGCACCCACATACTCTCCTCATTGCAGTGAGCTTGCCCTGGGCACCACCTTCTCGATGAGGTCAATGCAGGGCTGCAGGTCCAGGCCGAAGTCAATGAAGACCCAGTCGATGCCCTCCCGCTTGTACTCCTCCTGCTCCAGCACAAACATGTGCTGGTTGAAGAACTGCTGCAGCTTCTCGTTGGTGAAGTTGATACACAGCTGTTCAAAGCTGTTAAACTAAAGGAGGGGCCGGACTCAGCAGGCCTCCTCGTGGATGGGGACAGGGAGGAACAGGGATGTGCGAGTTCACCCATGTCCCAGGCAAAAGCCTGGAGCTCCTACCCCAACCAACTCATAGTACCCTATCTTGGAGAGAACAGAGCCTGGGGGTGTGGGCCAGCTCTCACCTCAAAGATCTCAAAACCAGCAATGTCCAAGACTCCAATGAAGAACTGACGGGGCAGCTTTGTGTCCAGTGTCTGGTTGATCCGAGATACCAGCCACCGAAACAGCCGGTCATACGTGGCCTTGGCCAGAGCCCCCACGGCAAACACCACCTGGAAGTTTGGGAAGGCTAGGCTGACACTGGGCAAGGAGGGGACCCTGCCTAGGCTGTCTCCAAGTAGGCCCCGGCCTGCAAGCAGCTTACCTGCTCCACACTCTGGTTCTTAGTCACATACTCGTTACCCACACGCACTCGGGGGTGCAGAAGGCCTTTGAGAAGGTCCCCACTATTGACCCCCATCAAGTAGGCAGCCTTGTCAGCACCTGGCAGAGCACATGGGTGAGATGAGGAGGAGGCAGCTAAGAAGTTGAGCACCTAGGGTCTCAATTGGCCTTAGCCTGGTGATAGGATAGAGAGGTTGCAAGGGGCAAGTTCAGGGCTAGCAAATTGTACAGCTCAGGAAAGTGATAGTATGGAGTTGAGAAGTCAGAGATTACAATAAGGGCCAGGTAAGACTGATGTAAAAGACTGTTGACAAGAATTAGAGTAACGGTCACGGACAGGACGCTGGGATCAAGGTCAGGAATCCTCACTCTCGGTGCCATCAGCCTCAGCCTGCTCTTCCCGCTGCTTCTGCTTGAACTTCATGTTGCCAAAGTGCAGAAGGGCACCCACGATCTTATAGCAGGCACACTTCTCATCCACACTGAAGCCGAGGATGTCCATGGCATGCTGCAGCAGGAGACAGCCCGAGATGTCGGGATCAGAGAACTCTGGGCTCCTCCAGGGTCTAGCCAAGCTTAGAGCATTGAAACTGCCTCAATCTCCACCCATCTTCACGTGGCCCACACTGCAGACTCCCCGCTCTGCCCCCACCACAGACGTACATCAGTGGCCATGAGCTCCTCCCCGTCATCCATGTTGTCCACGGTGATGACACCCTGGCTGCAGAAGTGGTAGTCATAGGGGTTCATAGACAGAAGCAGCATGTCTGGGGAACATGGGGTGGAGAAGGCAGGTCTGGCTGTGTTCACCCAGCTAGCCTCCTACCCCGATCCTGGCCTGGTAGGTTCTGGGAGTCAGCCCCACAGGAGACTCTAGAGCCCCAGGACTTCACTGTAGCGTTTCTCATGCCAAATCCATGTCCATGGCTTCTCTTTCCTTATGGTTCTCTGAGAAATGAGCCCCATTCCCTATGTCTCATTCATGTCTCCACCGTAGCTCATGGCCACCTCTCTGGCTCAGACCCTGTATTGGGGCACAGGGAGGACCAGACTCTGCCCTCGAGGGGCTTTCAAGAAAGGGGAACTGGACCTAGAGAGTCATTGGTCCTCCCTTGGTGCTGGATGAGGCATCTCTAGTCTCAGGACAGCAGGAGGGACAACCTCACAAGGGCAGTGGCACTAAGGGGTCTGATCCCTAACATGAGGGGAGGGCTCACCCATAACCAGAAGTCTCAGGAAAGGAGGGGAGAAACAGAAGGGGCTCGGAGGAAAATGGGATGTCACAGACCCCGGAACGTGAAGGAACAGACATTCTGGTCTGACGGGAGCCAGGAAGGGGCCAGGCAGCCCTACTCGTGCCCAGCCCTGTGAGCTCTGACTCCCACCCTACCCATCCCTGGCCCTCACCCTGCAGCTCTGGCTTCTTCCCTGAGAGGATCTGGTAGTAGACGTGGTAGCCACGCTCACCAGGCAGCTGGAAGATCACCCGTGACTTTTCCAGGAGATCTGGGAGAGAGGGAGGCACTGACCTACCATCTCCTGCACCTCCCCAGAATGGGTCACCCAACAGGGCTGAGGGGGTCCGGGCAGAGGTGTCGGTGAGAGGTAGGGGTGTGTGTAGCGGCACCGTATGCACACAAGCCAGCACATACTGAAGGGTGTCTCTCCATTTGTGCACGTCATAGTGTGGGAATGTGTATCCATTCGTGCACTGGGTGTAACTGAGTGTAAATGTGGGTGTGTGTGGGGCGAGAATGGGTCACCCAACAGGGCTGAGGGGGTCCGGGCAGAGGTGTCGGTGAGAGGTAGGGGTGTGTGTAGCGGCACCGTATGCACACAAGCCAGCACATACTGAAGGGTGTCTCTCCATTTGTGCACGTCATAGTGTGGGAATGTGTATTCATTTGTGCACTGGGTGTAACTGAGTGTAAATGTGGGTGTGTGTGTGTGGGGCGGGGGGTATTCATTTGCCCGTTCTTTCATCTATGCTTTCATTCCTTCGTCCATGACCACGCACCTTTCCTCCAGAGCAGTGCTGGTGTGTCTGTGTGTGTGAGTGGAGTCTCCGTGTGTCTACACATGGTCGGTCAGGGCAAAAATTGCGACATTCCCTGCCCTTGCCACCACATGCCCAAGCTTATCTACCATGACCTGGCCATGCGTCCCAAGGTGGGGAGTGATCAGTGTGGGGGCCCCTCTGTGCATGGGCCCGGTCACTTGGTGTCTGTGCAGCCGGGCTGGGTGAGGCAGGATGGGCAACAACTCCAGAAAGGTGTTAGGAGGGGCTTCCAGGAAGGATGGGGACTTGACGTGTAGAGATGAGGCTGGGGCAGGAAGGGTACAGGCCCACCCTGTTAGGGCCAGAGGAAAGACGAGAGTCGGGTAAAGGCCCAATCATGAAGAGTCTGACGAGCCAAATAAAGATTTGGGTCTCCATCTTAAGATGGTATGATCTAGAAAAAGTTTCTAACCAGGAACACCATGTAGTCAAACTAGTATCCATGAAAAGGTCACTGGCTGTAAGGTCAAAGAGAGGAATGAAGGCTGGGACACTATGCGGAGGCTGGTGGAATGTTCCAGGTGAGGGGTGAGGTGGTCTGAGCTGGGCAGTAGCCAGGGGATGGAAAGAAGGACCTGGAACAGGTAGGAGCCCCAAAGACTTGATGATGGATGCTCAATCCTAGAGGAAAGACTCAGGCCTAGGCCTCTGTCCCCATCCCCGCCCTCCCACACTCTCCCCTAGAACTCACAGCTGTCAATATCCGAAGATGCCAGCTTCCCAGAGGGACCAAAGTGAATTCGGATAAACTTGCCCTGTGGGCAGAGGAGCAGCCTCAGTCAGGGGGTCAAGCTGGAGCTGCCATATCTGCTGACCGCTCCCCCGACCTTGTGTCTCCTTGCTGCTGGTCCTGCTCCAGCCACCCACCTCTCCCACTGTGGCCACTCACAAAGCGGGACGAGTTGTCATTCCGCAGGGTCTTGGCATTGCCAAAAGCCTCCATGGCAGGGTTAGCCTCAATGATTTGATCCTCGAGGGTACCCTGCAGGGGTGAGAGGTGCTCACTGACTGGGACACCAGAGCAGCCTCGGTTCTGGGTATCAGCCCATTCCGGACAACCTCTGGTTGGAAAAGGGAAGTGGGGAGGTCCCCAGGACCTCACAATTGTTGTCCGCCCCACTTATACTGGCTCCATACTTACCCCAGTCTTTGTGGCCAGAAATTGCTGGGGGGAGAAGGAAGACAAAGTAAGAGGGTGTGAGGTCTGACCAGGTCAGGGGTGGCAGCTCGGTTCTGGGTATCAGCCCATTCCGGACAACCTCTGGTTGGAAAAGGGAAATGGGGAGGTCCCCAGGACCTCACAATTGTTGTCCGCCCCACTTATACTGGCTCCATACTTACCCCAGTCTTTGTGGCCAGAAATTGCTGGGGGGAGAAGGAAGACAAAGTAAGAGGATGTGAGGTCTGACCAGGCCAGGGGTGGCAGGACAAAGTAAGAGGGTGTGAGGTCTGACCAGGCCAGGGGTTAGCAGGACAGTGAATGTTAGTCACCCAAGTGTATAGCCTCCCACCCCAAACCCCATGCCTCTCCCTCCCAGGACTGTTACAAGGAGAAATGCTAGAAAGTAGGAGCAAGCATGGCCCTAGTCAGGGTCCTGAGGCAGGGGGCTGTGTCTGGGGGTCTCCTATTCACCTCCCCAGCTCTGTCCCTAGCCTCTTCCGCATCCCCACAGTTCCCACGCTCCAGGAAGTGGCCTCTGCCCCAAGCCCTAGAAGCTAAAATCTACTCCCCTTCAGAGCCCAGCTCAAATGCCTCCTCCGCTAGGAAGGCTTCCCTGATGCTCTGTGGCTGGTAGAGATCTTTTGCCTAAATCTCCTACCCTCACCTCCCTCTGACAGCTCTTCTCCACACTTCTCCTTTGTACTGTGATTAGGTGCACCTTCCAGGTGCATATTATCACCCTATTTTGCAAATGAGAAAACTAAGACTCAGAACAGGGAAGCGATCTGCTCAAGGCTACACAGTAAGAGGGGGGCAGAACAGGCACTGAGCCCAGGCATCTGCCTCCCATGGCACCCAAAGCCACCTGTATGTCTCACCTAGAGGGACTCATTGAATTGAGAGGATCCCCTGACCCCATTTCCTCTCCTTGTCTTCCCTCCATTTTCCTTTCCTTCTCTTCCCTACCTTGGATCCCAGCAGCTGGGAAAGAAAGGGGAAAAAGGAATGGATACTAGAGTGACAAGTACCATGCCATCAGGGCACGTTGGTTATTCACTCACTTCCAGGGAGCCCACGACTTAAAAATCCCCCCAGAGATATTGTTGGGAGGATGGAGGCAGGAGAGAAATGGCAGCACCTCCCTTGCCCAGGCTCCACTGCACACACTCATGGCCAGGGCTTCTGAACAGGGCTCCCTCTGGCAGATGTAGTCAAATTTGGGGCAAAAGGGAGGGGGGTTGATAAGGTTTTTAAGTTCCGGCATCCATGGCCCCTGAGGGCCAGCCTTCTTCTCCAACTCCCTTGCCTGACACTCCCCCCCCACGGACTACATGGTGCAGGCTCCTTTCTGCCCAGGGCTGCCCTGCCCCTGCACTGCTAACTCTGGCCTCTCCCTACCCTCCGGTTCTGTTACTGGACCGAGCCCCAACTTTCTGCAGCATCCTCAAAGACACTTTAGGGGTTTAGAAAATGGATAGGAAGGGGAAAAAGGAATGAATACCAAAATGTCAACAGCAAAAACAAAACAAAACAACAAAAACAACCACCACCACAACAAAAAAACCAAAACTGAAATAAAAATCAAATACCAAGAAAATTAAAGGGGAAAAAGGAAAAGGCAAAAATAAAAATGAAATAAACTTAAAGTGGAAAAAAGAAAAAAAAAATGCCCCAGAATAAAGCAAGGCTCAACAGGAGCAGGAGTGGGGGCTGTGCAGGAGGAGGCCTTGGGCTTCTGGAAAGAAAAGACAGCCAGGTTTGGGGTAGAATGGGGGAGAGGGAGAGCTCTGAACAACTGGCCCAGAGGCTATGAACAAATGTTGGAATCCAAAACAAAGATAAAACAAAACACTGGTCCCCCATTGTTTCGGAAATTAAAAAAAAACATGCAGAAGTCACAGGGTGCAAAACCGCCCCCTAATCTGGCTGTTGGGAATGACAGGTACCCTTCGCTCTGGCTAAAACTCCACATAAGCTTTCCTGCTTGTTTGACTGACAGCAGGTAACCATCTTAAGTGCATGAAAACCAAGAAATCAATCACTTCTTAGTAAAAGCGACCTATCTGGTAAACTCTTTCAAAAATATGAAGGTCACGATGAGACAGAAAAATATATTAAAAGTTTAGGAATAGAAATGTGGCCCCATCCCTCTGTGAAACATTGAAACAGGCCCAGAACTGGGTCACACAGAGTGGCAGAGGTGGCCACAGCCTCTCTGGTCAAGCCTTGCTCAGGCCAGAGTCCCCCACCAGGGTGGGAGGCTCAGGCAGGGCTGGAGGCTCTGGGGAATCAACTGAAAAAAAAAAAAAAAGGTGGGAGGAGGAAGAGAAAGAAAAAAAAAAAAAAGAAAAACAGTGAGAAGCAGTGGGGGGCAGCGCCCAGGTGGGCGAGTCTTACGGCCTTCTTGCCCGGCCCGTCTCCCAGGGCAGCGACGATGGCAAAGTACTGAATGACCCGCTTGGTGTTAACCGTCTTACCGGCCCCCGACTCTCCGCTTGGACGACACAAATATGAGTCACAAATACCCATGTGGCCATCTAATTCCTCCCAACGTCCCACCCCCCAATGTCCCACACCCGCAAGCAGGGCCCCTCTGCCTTCTCCCAGGCCAGCTCCCAACTCAAACCCCCACTCTCGGAGAGATCAGCCCTCAGAGGTGCTAGAGTTATTTACAAAGCAAGCCAGTGTAGACCGTCTCTGTGAGATGAGAACACACATGATGTCACTGTTTCCTGAGCACTAACTTAGTGCCAAGGGCTGGGCCAAGTGCTTTACCTGTATTGGCTCATTTAAGCCTTAGAAATCCTGTAAGGTAGGCAACATTATCACCCCCATTTTATGAGTAGGGAAATGGGCCTCAGAGAAGTGATGTGACTGTACTTGCTGTGTGACAGGCATGTACACCAACTCACTGACTTCTTATAGCTCTGCATGGTAGCTAGGTAGGATTGTTTTGCTTTTACTGATGACACCCAGAGGCCCAAGGGCACCACCAGCAGGAAGTGAACACAGAACGTGAACCCAGGTCCTTCTGGTTTCAAAGGCCTTGCTCTTAATCACCAAACTGTACGCACACACACATATACAATGTTCATATTAGCTTGGCTGGACATGAACGTGGCATGTAAGAATTCTACCACTTTCCCATGGGGGCAAACAAAGGATCAGAAATAAGATTCAGAGATAAGGATATGGTAAGGAGGAAAGGGAAAGGAATCTGCCCCCCTCCCCCTTGAGGCAATCAGAACTCCCAAAAGATCAAGGTGGGAGAAGATTCCAAGCCCTGGGGAGAAGGGGTATCAGGGCTGGTGATCACTCTGATGCTTGGGTTTCCCTTCCCTGCCCATCACCCTTAACATGTCTGCCCAGAATGGAGACAGGGAACATGCTCCAATTTAGCTTCAGCTGGGACAGTGGCTCCAGGTGGTAAAAGTCCTGGCGTAAGCATTTTAGAACCAACCCTGAGAAATGATTTTAGTTCCACTCCCTTCCTGCCAGATGGACAGTATTTCCCACCCCATCCCCAAAACCTCACACTTACGTGATCAGCATGGACTGGTTTTCTCGGTCTGGAGGAAAGAGAAGGAAATAGAGAAGTTCGTCAAGGTGAGGGACCAGTCACAGGTGGAACACCTTGGGTATCATGGCACTGGGGCAGCCTCTCACCATCCAGGGCCAGAAATGGGAAGGACCAGATGGGATCCTCCAGACTGCAGGCCAGCTACCACTTGGGGAGACAGAATGGCTATGCTAGAGTGTCTAGCAGCTTCTAAAGGAGGGCAATGCAAGTGGAGGGAAATAGTCCTTTACAGAGGCTTCCCTAGAGCTGGGGTAAGGGTCTTGGGTAAGAAGAGGGAGAGGAGTCCAGGTGGCCCTTACTGCGCAGCATGTCATTGTAGGCGTTATCTGCCACCGCATATATGTGTGGTGGGGCCTCCGAGCGGCGCTTTCCCTTGTAAGCGGCCACCACAGAGGGCGTGTAGACCGGGAGCCATTTGTAGGGGTTGATGGTGACACAGAAAAGGCCTGAGTAAGTCTGAGGAGAGAGTGTAGAAGTGGATTGTTGAAGGCCAGGTTTCCATTCCAGCCTTCACAAATCCGTGACCCTTGTAATATTCCCCAAGGAGCCACTTAACATGCCATGCCATATCCTCTGTGGCTGTCCTAGCCCCATCCCAGCCCTTCTTCCTGCTCATAGCCCACGTCTCCATCTCCTCAGACCCATTACCGAGCCTCTTGCCGCAAACCCCACCGCTCCGCCCCTACGACCCCAGAGCCCCACCTCTAGCCCCGCCCCACCCAGCGACCCTGCCTTCACAGCCCG